ATATCGCGATGGAGCAAGAGAGCTCCTTCGTAGCAACTCGAAATAGTCTCCAAATAACCACTGACCAGGTCGCATAAATCTGAACCGATTGCGTGGATCACCACCGTCTCGTTCGCGATGGCCATGACCGGGATGGTATTCCGGCATATTTGCAATACTGAATTGCATCGGGTGTGGGTACTTAGGACAGAACGCGACTTTTTCGCTCTTCGCAACGCGACATCGCGCGGCAGGCTGGCGCACCCGTAGCGAAAACAACTACGGTATATAAGAACGCGCGATTGGAGCGCGATATTTGTGTCGGCTTTGATTGCGACAAGGAGTTTGAAGCTTAATAGCCATGGATTTGATAATGAACGAGGAAATGGTAACCAGAAGTGGACCGCTAACTAGCAGTGAAGAGGGAGGTAGGTTATTTTTGCAGAGATGGATGGTAGAGAGCTTCTGGAGAACCTGGAAGAGGAATGGTTGATGGACGTTTGATGAGACGACTGCAACTTCTGCATAGTGGGGCCCAAAATATACACAACCACAACCACTTCTGCTATTTAACGCAAACTTCTGCTTATAACAAGCTTTCTCCACATAACAGCGCCTATACACTAAACATATCGGAGGGGATGAAACTCGGAACAACCACAACACGCCATGAGCAGTGGAGTGTGTCACACCACAGGAAGACTAACCCACTTTGGAGGGCCCTAACACACGCAAAAAGCTAGATCTACCAGCGATTAATTAGAAGGGGCCAGCACACCACACACAGAGCAGCCCCAAAATCAGCGCTAAACACACTAACACCAAGACCTCGCAAAACCCTAATACCACTAACAATTTATGACCATTCGCCACATAGACCCTCAAATGGTATCATATCCCAGAATCGAAGAGAACCACCATTCACAAATAAAACAGAATTTATACCCCTTCCTGCAAGGTCTATACAACACTCAACAATATGAACCCACAAAATGCAAGCACAAGCGGCCCTATTAAACCCTCGTTCACCGATAATTCGTAAAACACCATTTTAGTGGTATCGCCCGGAATCTTGTAAGTCACAAAACGTTTTCAATAATGAGACAGAATTAGTGATTCACCGCATTTATCAATACAATGGGTGTGAGCGCGGGCAAGTAAGGAATCAGAAACTTCCAAATTCACGCATGCAAAAAAGCTGCTCCAATCGCGCGTTCTTATATACCGTAGTTGTTTTCGCTACGGGTGCGCCAGCCTGCCGCGCGATGTCGCGTTGCGAAGAGCGAAAAAGTCGCGTTCTGTCCTAAGTACCCACACCCACATTTGCTTCGTACCATGTATGCTATACGAAGCCAAAGCGCTCTGAATTCTGAAAAGTACTACATTTCTAGCGTAAAATGAAAAATCCCGAAAGAAGTTTTCATCATCAGACGAAATAGGTTCAAATAATAGAAAAAAGAAAAAAAAATATAGCTGATTGGTGCACACCACTAAAATGCAGCAAAAAGCGACGTCCATAGGCTTATCACTCCTGCAGCATTCATTGTTTTGTGAACTTCTTCGTTAATTCCTTCAATCTCAAAATTTTCCATTTCTTCAATATGTCTTCAAACTATAGCCTCAGTACATGGTTTCGCAACATGATTACCTAGACAAGACACAACAGGACATCATCGATTGTTGATCTCAAAATTCACCCAAAATGAATTTCGTTCGTTATCTCATGTAGGATGGCGACTTCGGGGTGGATCAGTGCTAAATAACGACCACACGTTAACAACAACTCTTCATAACTCGGGCAAGGCCAAACCCTTTTGGGGATCACTTCTACTAATTGTTCGGTAGAGATAGTCGATTATCCTGCTCGATTTATAATAAATGCGGTGAAAATTAAGCCAAGTTTCTTGTTTTCATGACCGCAAATTTGTTAGTTTGAATTTCCGTAGCCTTTTGACAGTGCAGTAAAGCTAACCATAAGGTCAGTATTGAGATCATTCTTTTTTTCAGAACCGAGATCATATCCTATACCTATGTGAGAAGTATAGGACCGTTATTATCGTAGGTGAGACGGGTTGCGGAAAAAGTACTCAGGTAACTTAATTGTTTTCTGAAAGATTTTGATGGCTCGGCCGATTTCGAATTCAAGTCTACTACCAAGACTACTTTCTTTAGGTCCCGCAATACCTCTTAGAGGCAGGATGGGCCAATGATGGCCGAATGATCGGAATCACCCAACCTCGAAGAGTGGCTGTTGTTACGGTATGTTAAGAGAGTTTCAATCGTCTTTTTCTCTTTTCTTCTCTTCTTCGTTTATATTCTTGTTGTGAATGTTATACGAAGTGTGAACAACCGATGTTCTGAATTCTTCATCAATTTCTTACAGTTAGCTGCACGTGTTGCTGAGGAGAAAGAGACTATTCTCGGACAAGACGTGGGCTACACAGTCCGTTTTGACGATGTCACTGATGACCAAACAAAGATTAAGGTTGTTTGACTTACTTAATAGTTAATTATGAGGGCTTTCCTGGGACCCTTTCATGGTTTTCGGTAATAAATAGCTCAGTTATGCCTTAGTAGGTATACATCCTTTTCGCGGTGAATTCCACTCGCCTCGCTGGCTTCGCTTTTGCTGCTTAGTTGGCGACTACATTCGTTGTGTAACAGCAACCTTCCTCTGGGTACTGTAGATGTCTGATTTTGATAGTTTAGCGAATTCTGCATTTAAGCCGTTTTTTGTGTGTTTTCTAAAATAGTTGTTGCCTAATTGTTAGGGAGCAAAATTAAAGGCTCGATATAGTGCTTTGTACGCGGTGGTTTGTTGTTGCTGACCATGAGTTATCTCATTCAAAATTATACTTTTAGTATATGACTGATGGAATCCTTTTGAGAGAGTTACTGACAGATCCTTTGCTTTCAAAATATAGGTCAGTTCTTTAGTATTTTGGCCATGTTGCTGATGATCAGGTCAGGAAGAATAGTATTTCAGTGTAATAATGATCGATGAAGCCCATGAACGGACTTGCAATTCTGATATTCTGCTTGGTCTTCTTCGGAAAGTGCTCATTGTCCGGCCTGATTTACGCATTGTAGTGTCATCAGCGACGCTGGATGCTGAGGTATGAGAGGTTGCAATAATCGTCAGTTTAGCTGACATTTTCCGGCAACTTACCCATTCATTGTATTACTGTGGTGTTTACAGCTTTTTCGAGACTTCTTTGAGCTGAATGAAAGCGATGACCATAACCTCGACACCTCGTGTATAATGTCTGTGGAAGGGCGAACGCATCCA